GTGTCAAAGGCATTCTTTACATTTGTCAAGCACTGTGTGTAAACACTGGTTGAAACATGGGGGATGTTTTATCATCACAGTAGGTGAGAGGTGGAGGCAGGATGATCAGTATCCAAAGTTATCCTCAGCTACCTTGTGAAGTTGAGCTTATACTAGAGACCTCATCTCTGAAAAGAAAGAAAATGCAAAGGAACATTGCCATTTCTATGAGTCTTCTACAACTGTGCCAATTTGAGGACAAATAGGCAAGCCATTCAAGACTGAGACACTGAGACACATGACAAATGAACTAATATGTGATGCTCCAGTGTAATGGGTTGTGTGATAGCTCCAGATGTGGTATCTTGTGATTACTGCCATGGATTCTAAGAACCCACCTCTGTATAGAAGAGCAGGAAATGTTTTGAGGAGGAGGTGACACATCACCATGGCAGAGATGAACTCAATGAGATTCATAATTCGTGGAGCACCTTCTCTGAGGTGTGGATGACCCCTTCACTAGCTGTAGAAGGGATGATAAGCATGCAGCCCTATGAAAGCAGAGGCCCAGGCAAAGAACCTGAAGGCTGTCTGATACTGAAATGAAAGGGCATCATTTGTTTATCCTATAGTTCATGTTGTTGAAATCTTTGATTTCTCAAGATAAAGGTCATTATTTTAGGAAGGACCATTTGCCTAAGGTATAAGTTCCTTTCTTTAAAGACACCACTGGTACCCCCCGCAACAGGCTTTAGTTTTCAGCCTGTGACTCTATCTTCGAATGCACAGTTCATTCTTCTGCATGATGCAGCCCCTCCTGCCTTCTTTTGGCTTCACTATGATGCTTTGGCATGACTGGTGAAGACGATCAAATGCCCCTTCCTACCCTAGCCATTTTCTACCCTTCAGCATCCTGTTTGTTACTTCCTTATCCTGGGACTTTGTAATACCCTGTGTATGTCCCATCCTTATTTTTACTATGTAAATTTCTTGACTCCACTGGGACTAGATGGACATCTTATGGGACTATCCTTAACTGGGCTATAATCTCTAGAACTTACTGCACAATCTCGGATCTGTCAGATGCCTGCTTGGTGAATGTTCGCTGAATTACAGGATGAAAGGTTTCATCAGTAGACCTTTCAGAAAGGATTAACAATACTCCAAAGGCACACTCCTTGAAGGCAGACTCCTTAATAGAATGGTGCTAGACTTGTCTCATGCCAATGCCTGCAAGTTAGCTTGTGTATCTGAATATCAGTGAAGGCTTTGTTGTCTCTAAGTTTCATCTCTGTGTGACTCAGTTAAGTGCTAACAAGTTGATCCTTTTGTATTTGGGCTTTTTTACTGGGGTTTCTTCAACCTCTTTACGAATGGAAGCTGACACCCACTCTGAGGAAACAATTCAAAGAAGTTGGATGAAAGGAACCACAATGCCTTGGAACCTGAACACTTGCATGCTCTGAGTGAACAGGCAAGCTATGACACACTTTGTGGGGAGGATACATGAGGAGGGCAACACTCCAGGGGAAGATCAATGGAACCATCTTTAAGGCCTGTCAACACACCTAGCTGGGTAAAGTTTTCCCTTCTTCTTTGAGAGATAAATAGGAGTCTTTCCCACTTAGCTAAAACCCAGGGGGCTGTTTCCTGAAGAGACAGGAGAATCTCTTGAGAACTACACATGAGCTACATATGCATTGTTGGCAGGCAGTCTCTGACTTATCTCCAGCCTCCCACTGATGATCTGATGCTCTCCTATATCCTTTGACTATGTAAATAGTTTCCACACTATTCCTTTTCAGTGGGTATTATTTTGCTTACTGCATATAATAAGATAGTGTCAAACACAGGGAAATTGCTAGGGGGATCCTATATGTTATTGTCAGAATAGGGATCACAGCTCCACATAGCTGAATTCCAAAGTTACATTGGGCTAGACCAGCTCTGGTGCACAGTGAGTTGTGGCCCACATGGCTAAGCAATCTGATTTTCATTTTAACTCTTACCTAGCCCTCCTGATCTCCCCCTCTCTGCTGTCATCACACACACTCCCATGCACTGCTCCCAATAGTTTCTGAAAGTCAGGCAGCCCCTTCATGACAGCCTCTCTGCTTGGCCAATAGGGGGCCCTCAGGGGATGTTTTTAGAGTAAGAACCAAGGCTCCTACCTTTAAAATGGAGAGCTACAATTTTCATATTGGATCTCCTTGCCAATTGTAAATCAGTCATCTTAAGGATGCTTCCCATTCTTGTTTCCCTTCAGGCAGCTCTTATTCCTCTCTGGAAAAAGAAAAGATTTGCTTTATAGCTAACTGCAGGACTGAAATGACATATAAAATAGCAACAGCAGGGAACAAATGTGTCCCTAAAGTGGCAATATGGTGCCTTTTTGTGTGTTTTAAGGCTTTCCGGTGAGAGGCAATTTTTCTTCTCTGGCTTCTATTTGAATAGTTGTTGAAAATTTAGAAAACAATATTAGGTGTGTTCAGTAATGGGACCTGACCCAAACTGTTCTATATATTAGTGTTAGGGACACACACACACACACACACACACACACACACACACACACACACACACACAACACAATCTCCCCTCTCTCACACACACACACACACACACACACACACACACACACCACAATCTGCCATTTCTTTGGCCAGTTGCTCTGATATTTGCAGGGCAATGCTACCACCTTAATAATCAAGAGTGATCCAATATTAGTAGTGTGTATTTTAGTTTAACATGTAATATTTTTCTCACAAAAATCATTTCAGTTTTATGTCATTAGTTGAAAAAAAAAACCTATAGAAGAACATTTTATTTTCGCTTTTATCTTCCAATTTCCCTGCTTTCAGTATAAGAAATAGGCATTCTGACTGTCAATTCTACTTTCTGTTCTTTTCTTTTTCTGTTTGTCAAATAGGACAATTCAAACATTTCTTTTCAAACAAAGAACCGGAAAGCCGTAACATTGTCTGTATTTCTCCAAACTCCCTGCAGTATCAATAAATCCACAGGCTGACAACACAGGCTGGGGTCTACACTGGAGAAAAAGCAAATTGGATCAACAGTAGTGTTCATTACCCTCCACACTGGGAAACAGTGCTCCAAAGAGAGGCTATTTTCTGGAGGGAAGACCCCTGTGTGACCCGCTTCTTCACTGCCACCCTGCCTGCACACTGTAGGCATAGCCTACACTCACCAGCATGGTCTCAGACAAGCAGAGAATGGCTTTACTTTCCTTTTTTGCTCTGTCTGCTTCCCTTCTTCACTTCCTGTTGCTCAACCATTGGCTTCCATAACCACTACCCATTCAGTTTCAGGAGGACTCATCCTTGCAGTCCACTGCTCTGCAGGAGCAGGTAGAAGAAGCAAAGTGGGGTGGCCGTGTGGTCAGATATGCACTCATCCTACAGCATTGGACTTCCCCACAGTGTCCAGCAGCTCCCGAAGCTTACCTACTCTTTGCTGGCAGCAGACAAGCAGAACACCCTGAGACATGTCTTCTTGGTTGTGTCAGTTGAGGTCAGCTGGAAGCTCCCCTCCACCCCTAAGACCTTTTCTGAATCTAGGATGGCAGGCTGAAGGGAAGGAGCCTCTTGGGGGAATTGGTGAGGGCATATGTGTACATGAGCATGAGAGTGCAGGAGCAAAGTACAGTTCAGAATCCCAGTGTCATGGTTTAAGTGGACTAGCAATCATGTGCTTTTCCTGCCACAGATCAACACTGCAAGAGAAACAGTTGTAGGAGCCAGAGGTCAAAATGTCAACATAATAATTGACTACATTGAACAGGAAAACTAGAATGGGGCCTGAGGTGTCAATAGGTGCCCTACTCTTGTCTTCCGTGATTTCAATCTCACCTAACCTCCATGTGCTGGTATCTTGTGTTTATAAATTTAATATATATCCTAGAGTCAATGAAATATATTAAAGGCTCAATGGATTTTCGAGTTTGGGTTTTGGCTTAGAGGCAACAGGGATGGTGAGGTGTGGCTCCTGCTTCCTCTTTCTCCTCCTTGTCGTTATTTCCCCCCACACTTTTGAGTACAGTCTTGCTAAGTAGACAACTCTGGTTTTGAACTTGAAAGCCTCCTGCCATAGCATCCCAAATGCTGGGATCACAGTCATGTGCCACCGTGAGAAACAAGACCCAGTTAATTCCTATACTGTTGGGAACTTCATTTAAATGGAATGGGTAGATAATCCGGGTGCTGAATGCTGCCTCCTAGCTCTCCTGTGACAGCATTCATACCTGGAAAGCTGCCTCAGGGCAGCAGCACATGCTCCCACTGCACTGGTCCCCAGAAGGCAAAGCAGACAGCACAGGGAATCTTCCCTGCAAATCCAGCAGGGAAGTTGAACAGGGTGTGAGGCCTGGTGTGAAGATGTGGATATGTTGTTGGCCTGGGAGGTGTCTTGACAGAGCTTGAAGTCATACCAACAAGATGGAAAATGAAATATTAGCAGTGTTTCTCCTTGGAGCAGATGCTACTTATAGATCAACAGGGAACACAGGCAATGATACAGAAAAAAATTTCTCCCAGAAGCAGCCCCCTTTTGCAGAATAAGAAAAGCCAATGGTTTAGTTCACATTAGAGGCCAGATATAAGGCCTGATTTCCTCTTGAGTAAGTCCAGTGCCAGGACAGGAACAAGCTGGACTGGTATGAAGATTTAGCACCTGTGGTAGTTTGAATGTAATTGTCCCCCATATTCTCATAGGAAGCAGCAACTATTAGGAGGTGTTGGACTACATATGGCCTTGTTAGAGGAAGTGTGTCACTATGGGGGTGGGCTTTGAGATTTCCTATGCCCAGGATAAAGCCCAGTGTCTCAGTTGACTTCCTGTTATCTGTAAGACATAGGACTTTCAGCTACTACCCCAGCACCACGTCTACTTGCATGCCACCATGTTCCCTGTCATGATGGTAATGGACTGAACTTCTGAAACTATAAGCCGGCCCAATTAAATGTTTTCCCTATAAGACCATGACTCTTGGTGTCTCTTCACAGCAACCCTAACTAAGACACCAGCTATGTACAAACCCAATGAGAAGTTCGAGGTGAAGCATACAGAGCGTTAAGGTAAGCAAAGAGCCTTTTTTTTTAGCATGTTGTATGTGTTACCTTGGAGGCAGTCCTTAAAGCAAGCTTGGAGTGCTCTGATCTAAGTCCCATGGAAAGAGAGAATTCTCCTGGAGCTCAAACAACAAAAGATCATTTGGGCACCTTGATTCATGAGAGCTCCAGGGTGCTTGTAGCTGCTGGGTTAGCATCACCTAGAGAGACTTTAAACAATATTGATTCCCTCTTCCAGCTTTCAATCAGCCAAGGGTGGTGTCTGGGGAATTGGTATGTTTCCAACGTTCACTAGATGGGTATGGTGTACAACAGGTGAGAACAGTGCTTTAATTCCTAATCCACTCAAGGAGCCCCTGAAAGACATTGTTTGTGGATCTAGAATCCTTCTGGAGATGGGAAACACAGACTGGAGCATGACAGGTATGATGGGGGATGTCCTTCTGTATATATGTTTCTCTTATAGGTTGACGAATAAGGCACTGTTTGGCTGATAGAGGAAGGAAGATAGGTGGAACTGGGAGATGATGAGAATTCTGGGAGAGTTAAGCAGAGAGAGGCACCTCCAGGAATGCCATGTACCAAAGGAGTAACAGGTCTGGGCATTCTCTGGTAAGCCAAAACCATGTGGAAATACATAGATTCACAGAAATTGGTTAATTATTAAGACAGAGATAGCCAATAAGAAGCCCTTGTCATCGGCTAACAATTTTATACTTAATATAGTATCCGTGTGTTTATTTTGGGCTGAAGGGTGGTGGGACATGGTGGGAAAAGAAATTCCAGCAACACAGGTAACATGAAACTGTGTGGAGCTCTGGGAATAATGGTAGTGTCCTAAGAGATGGCTCTTCAGGCTAAAAAGGAAGAAGCAGATGACAGCAGATAACTCAGATGACCTCCTGAGAAGATAGCCCCACTGAGGTCCCTAACCTGCTGCTACCCTGAGAATTACCCTTGTAATTCATCAAGAGAAGTCAAGATGTTTCAATGAAGCATCTCAGTTGTTATGTGTACTTTAAAGTTGTTAGATCTCAAAACCTGGATAAACCTAGCAGTCAGTTCTCCCAGCATCCCTCAGTCCCAACCTTTTACATGGCCCTCCTGGATGGCATACCCCACCCACTACCCTGAACTTCTCCAGTACAGGGTCTGGGTGCCCTTCTCTGAGGTTTTGGCTACACTCTTGATCAGTCTGTTGGCCTAGGATGCCCCTCTTGGTTGGCAGCTATTCTCCCCTTTCATCCCCCACCCTCTCCTCAATCTGGTCATGTTCACTCTGGACTCTCCCAGAGGTCACTGCCTCTGGTTCTTCTCCCTCTTTTATTTATAATAAACTTTCTCCTCCACCATACCTAGCAGTAATCATGTCCTTAGCTTTTTTATTTCTGTATTTCATTCAAAGTCATATATAAAAGAGAATAAGAACACCACATAATGTAGAGTGAGCGGCCTTATCTTGATCATACAAAATAATAAAGGGGACTTTACAAACTGCTAATTGGCAGCTGAATTACAGATCCCCAGAACTAGGCTTCATATGTAAGCATTAGACCAGGAAGAGGCCTCATCAAGGGGAGGAAGTGGAAACTCCAAGGAGAGAGGAATAGATCAGTTTCATGGCAGGTCTGAGGCAAGCACTGAAACACAGCACTTCCTGTGTCTGCATCATTCTACTTCTACCTCAGAGAGCATCCAGATCCATTAATTCTTTGCTGATTATGTGAAAGTTACACGTGACTAGAAGTTCTTCTCCTATGTAATCAATGGGTCTCTTGATAGTTTAAATGGCCTAGCATGGTTCAAGTGAATGCATATCTCGATGTTGGCTTTGTTTGTATTTATAGCCCTAGAACCTGCCACAAGTATCTGACTCTTGGGGATTCTTAGTAAATATTTGCTGAACTTTGCAGCCCTAGACCCTGCCACAAGTATCTGACTCTTGGGGATTCTTAGTAAATATTTGCTGAATGAATGAGTGAGTAAGCAAACAGAGGTAGAGTCTTCACAAATGTCCATGTTTTCTTGGTTCTTTTAACAGAGGGATTCTGTAATAATCACAACTAACCCATTAGATATCAGTTTTAACCCTCTTGATTATATTCAGTAAGGAAAGCAATTGGTGATCTTATTCTTGAATAGGAAGCCATCACACAGAAACAGACATTGCAATGTAGTTGATAGTCAATGGATCTTTTTTCATCCCGTTTCATAATGCTGAGCCACATGGCAGCAGAATGGCTTTCTGGCTGAAACTGGTCATTCCGAACTCTGTTCTCCATGAGCCTGTGTGGCACCAAGTGCCCATCTATGGTGTGATAGCTTGTCTTGTTCCCCTGCCTCCATGCTGGGGCTTTAAATGATACAGGGGATATATTAGTTCTCTCTTTCAATATTTAGGGGGGACTGAGAGAGCAGACTGATAATAGACTCTTGCTGAACCATGGGCAGTTTTTCAAACATTCCCATGTAAGACAGCCCAACTAAGCAAAGAGGGAATCACTGAATGTATCATTGCCCCAGTTTCTCAGAACAAGGCTTTTCAGTAATGGAGTTTCATCAAAGTGACAGTGATGACAATAGAGTGCAGATACCAGGAAGCTGGATTGGCACTTTGGGGTTCAATCTACACATCAGGTTATATGGGAATGTCTTGTGCACAGTAGTCCCTGGGAAACATAGGGAAGGCTACATCAGGTTGTTCATGGTTAGTTCATCAGAGATGATAACTCATTTACAAATTATAGCCAATCAAAAGTCTTTATTCTAGCTGGGTGAGACCACATCCAGGTATTCAGAGACCTAGGTGTGGCAGAGTATACAGAACATGGGGTTTTTAAATTTAAACCACAATCTGCCATCTTGCTGTGCAGTTGCAGGCTGGGAGCTTTGCAGAAGTGGGCAGTTTGAAGCAAGTTGTTTTCCCAGAAGCTAAAATTAGCAGTTAGCTGGAGGAGTTCCACACAAATGGACAGTTTTAATGAAGGCTAAGATGAGTTAGCTAGAACATCCTGACCTTGGGTTCCTAGCATAGAGTTGAGTCATTTTCCACAGGATTTTCCATCAAGAAGATCAGATTCTAGTCAAACCTGGAATGTCCTCAGCAAGAATACAAAATGAGGAACCTCTGTGCTGACCTTCCCTGCCACAAAGTTGCCTCCATTTTCTGAGGCACAGGAAGGTTCACACTGAGACATTCCTTACCTCATGGTTTCTTAAATCTGAAATGCCTGAGGCCCACTAGTGTCATGTGACAACCAGAAATGCTGCTGCTAGAGAGGGCTTAATGGCAAGACAGAAATCAGCTGGAGTGGCTGCCCTGACCAAAATGAAAAGAGGAATAGTAAAATAACAATTAAAATACAAATATTAACTGACTCATACTATGGTTACCACCAGACTTCATTGACAATTATCTAAGTACCAATCAAATACTGACCTACCAAAATAGCAATTTTCTATTTCCCTTAAATATTTTTAGCATAATATGAATTTATTATAGAGAAGCTAAGTTATTTTCCTCTCTCTGCGGGGACAGTGATAATCATAACTTATGCTTCCAAGGGCTGGTTGATCAGAGGTGGGCCAAAGTGACTGCCTGCCTGTTTCCAGCAGGCTGGAAAGGAAGCTCTTCATTAATTAAACAGCCTGCCCCCTGTTGAGCAGGCAAATGCACTGACAATGGGGCCTTGAGCTTTTTCTGGGGTAAGTATGAGTGTCACAGAATGCAGGCCCACTGTTCTCACCTAATGTGAAAGGTACAAGTGACCTTAAGGCACCTGCCCCAGGCTGTCTTCTACATGGCCTAACCAGCTCCTTATAAGACCCAGGAAAGTGTGAATATACTATTTGATAAACAAAACAGCTTCAGAGGGGTTCATTATGTAGACGGAGATGCCAACTTGTCACCTTCACACTATACTAACTTCACACAGTTAGAACTGAACATACCATTCCATAGACCAAGCACCACCTCAGAGCTGTAACCAAGGGGCCGTTAACTGCTCCGTCCTCTTGCTGCTGTTTTTCCATATTGCTGCTAATTTCTAAAATAGGGCAGTCCTGCAGTTTGCTTTTCCCAATGACAAGACAAGCAGGCTTTCCAATTCAAAAGTAGGGAGACAGAGAACAAGAAGCAAGGCACGTAGGGAAATGAAGAACATGGGAAGAGTTAGGAGGCCAACACTATCCTAGAGGCTAAGATGGACACTCCTTTGGGTGGATTGGAGGGGATTCCACTCCTGTTATCACAGGATGTAGGAGAGGCCTGCTGGCTGTGTGACTTCCAAGGTTGAGTAAGGATTGGGACATGTGCAGGGGTTCTTGCTAATGAGTAAGTTAATCCCCAGGCAGCTCAATGTCAGTGATCCTGATACTGCCCCAGGACTTCCTACCACTGAATGATAATGTTCATGAGTAAACATTACATCTACATTCCATCTTGGGGTCTCTGGGAATCATCATGACTGCCATTATATTACAGACCCCTTAATGGTGGGTCCTCATATTTCTCCCCAGAGCGAGGCATCATTATCCCTTTCTTAATTAAAAAAAAATATGAGCCTTAGTGGTCTGGGAAAATTAAATGTCTTGCTCAAGATTCTCTAGGGGGGCCTGTAGGCCTTTGAATCAAGGCTGCTTACATCTCAGGCCTATGGGATTTGCCATACCAGGCCTAACCTAAGAAGCAGAGGAGGCATTAGTGATAATGTAACATTCAGCTTCCTTCTATGATGTAAGCAAGAATATCAGCAAAAGTGAAGTGCAGCTGGGTGTGTAAGGTTCTGGTTTGTGACTCCTGAAGTGTGGTTTTTGCCTGCTTGCTTGCCTTTCCTAAGTCTCAGAATTCTCTGTAAATTGATTGATTCAGTAAAACTGCCTCCCTACTAGTGAAACAAAGCTTAGAACATAGAAATCCTTCAAGGCTTTGACTGTGTAAGAACAGCCCCGGTCCCACCCAGATCTTCATTAGGCATGAACCAACTCCTACCTCTTCTCCACTTACCTCTGCATGCTAGTGTTCTGGCCATGCTGGCCCATGGGCTGTTAGAATGAATTCTCTTCTCTGTCATTCCAGGAACAATGTTCTGTTTGCCTGAAGATGAAATTTCCCAATCTTGTATGAGAATCTTCCCTAAAACACTGTTTTTTCCCCCTGATATCTTAGTTAAACAAATGCCTTTGTACAGTCTATTATCTTTCTATTCTCTTTACTTCATGCCCCTATGATGGCATTTCATTTGTGAATACCTCTTCCAGTTACACTGTAAAGTGGTAATGGCTGAGCCAGTATCTTCTCTTATGATGTGTTTGGTGCACAGAAGTACTAAGTATCGTTTGTTTAATGAACAGATGAACAATTAATAGAAAACACTCCCTAGTTTTGGCATGTTTGGGAGATGGAACAGGAGGATCAAAAGTTCAGGACTATCTTCTATTATCTAATGTTCAAGGTCAGTCTTTGCTATATGAGATCTAAAGTTTAATAAGAGAAAAAATAAGAAAGGTAATGGGTGGTTAAAACAAAAGGATTTATGTAATTCCCAAACATGTTTTAATTTCAGAGCAGGGAACCAGACTCAGCCAATACTTTCATA